GGAGGGATACTGACTTGTTGTGAAAAGTAACTTACAATTCTACCCGTGGTATACGCTCAGTATATCACGGCTAAGAACCAATCAGATTGCTTGATTTGACTTGTCCGTTTTATAATGGTAATTATATAATATATTATTTGATATTATATTATAATGGAAGAAATATTACAAAATACAGTTTATTGGCCCCGGTCTACAAATTGTATTCTACACATTTAATAAGACATTTTAATAATGCAAAAATACTGCTAAATCATCATATTGCTATTTATGGTTCAAGTCATTTTTTTCCTGAACATTTCAATCTGTGTGAATCAGAAAAAAAGATCCCAATGCATTTATCTTAACTCTTTACTTTATAGACATTGATAGTTGCACTTTAATGTATACTCCTTGACCCATGTCCCTTTTTTATTATCTTCAGATGGAGTTCCAACTTGTTGATAGCCGCGCTCTCTGAAGTGACAATACACAGGTTTAGATTGTGTGAGTGAGTGAGCAGGGGAGGAACAGGCAGAGCAAATCCTTGAGGCCTGGATATTTTCTGGCTATTGTTTTCCTGGGGTGTAAAGTCAATCGCATGTAATCCTTCAGTAGTGCACAGAAGATCCCCTCAATCAAATCCAGATATTCCCTGTGTCTCTGCAAGCGCTTGCAGCTGCAATTTCTCTCTGGCTCAGTACGAGTGGGTGGCATTCAACCACAGAGGCAGATAAATGTGTTTTCCCTTTACATATTTGAAGCTCAAGCCAGGCAATAAAAGCACACTTTGTTTGATACTTTCTTTCAAATGCAATCACTTGTTGGCCATAATGGAGAAGGAATCAGAGTGGTCTGCACGCTGAGGGCAAATGGATGGGTCAGTGCTTTATGTGCAGCAGGATGCGGCTGCCTTGTTGGTTGCTGTTAATGTTTTTGATTTAATCCAGAGTTATCGTTCTACCCCCGCTCTGCCATGATAACATGCCCAGAAGGCTTCATCTTACATCTTGTAGTAAGTGGGACAGTAACCCCCCTGGATTCAATGCATGGACATTTTCTTTTCTCTCCTATAGGATACATCACTCTAGTTCATGAACCAGAAAGAAAGATGATGGAAGACTGGATCTGTCACTTTCAGAGCTTCTCCTCACTGCTTCTGATTTTATGGGAACTTATATTCAACCCGCTGCTGCTTTACAGTTGAATCTTTATGAAAGCCATGTCTTTTCTCATTAGGGAAAAACGGTTTGTAACTCCAATGCAGATGTTTGGTTTTACAGCAGTATGCTCTACTGTTCCCCCACAAACACATCTTTTCTAGTGGCACTAAACAGATGGTTGTGGTCAGTGCTGCTGCTGCTGCTGCTGTGACATGACTGTTGAAGCCTAGTGGAGTGTGGCACACTTTCTGGATGTTTAATTGTTTCTTGAAATACACTTTGGAGCAAAAGCTTTCTGGCTGCATAAATGGTCTTGAAATATCTCCTTTTCTTCACCTTGTAAAATACAGGGACATTCAATTAAATACTTCCAGCTTTTGGGGGGTATGAATGAAGGGGTTGGCAAATGGTATCAGAGAGGAAGTGCAGCATCTGGACAGGAACTCTGACATCCGGGGAGGGGGAGGGTGAGGGTGTGGTGTCTGACCTCTAACCCTGAACAGAGGGTAGAGGTCAAACACAGAAGATAGACTGCAGCTGTGTTGCAACACGCAACCCCACTGTCATGCCAATCACTGTAATTTACCTAGACAGATGTATCCCCGCCCAGTTTACCAAGCAGGCCTTAACAGGAGCTGACAGAGCAAAGGACGAAGGAAACAAGGAAGGAAGGGTGGATGAAAGAAATGTAAAAAGACTCCTATCTGCACACGCGTGCCTCATTCCAAGGAGCTAGCATGGGGTCTCAACCCACCGCAGCAGTTTATCCAAGGCAACCTGCCTCCAATTAAAGGGTTCTTCCCAAAAGGTTTACTCACCAGCACCACCAGTAAGGCCCTCCTCCCATCCCACTCTCATTTTACATCTTGTGGCAGCATTCCTTCGCTTCATTCAGCCTCTTCCAGAGCTATTTGTTATTCTGCGGGGGAGGTAGGGCCTAATCATGCCAGAATCTCGTAATACCAAGTCTTTTAACTGCTAGATCAGAGAGTGTGAGTTGCGGGATTACGCTGAGATACGGGACCTGGCAACCCCACTTCACTCCACCCCTCTGCCTCCTCCACCACCAGCGGGTAGCTCCATTAGGCTCAACGCATTGCTCATTTTTCCGCAAGAGCTCCCTTGGGCTAAGAGGCAATTATGCAGTTCTGTGGCATAATATTTCATTCGCTTCACATTGCATTACTCTATGGAGGTGCTGGCCACTAACAGCTTCATGTGGCCCAGGAGGATGGGTGCAAACTGCTAACAACTTTGTATAAGTAAGGGGAGAGGGGAGGAGGGAAATGAAGGCAAGGAAAGTTTTCAAGGGCACAGTGCTTTATCAGGAATCAGGTCTATTTCTACTCCTAAGCATGCGTCTTAGTTTAAGTCAGCAGAACATGAATACATTCACATATTACACATTAGTGAGTCCATGTCTCTGTATTATATATGTAGGAAATCATATGCAGGCAAAAGTTTGACATTTTCAAACGTCTTTGAATGTGATGCTTTACTTTTTAGTTCTCTGAAATATGATTTTCACAGCCTCTTTGAAAATGTTCTAGATAAGCTTGGCTGCTGTATGACATTAAATATTTCACACAGCGACCAGGCATCCCTCAAGGCAGTCTTTCTTATTCAGGATTTCTTATTATGTTTACAGTACAAAGTTGACATTAAGTCCAAATACACACAAACTAGAGATGTGGAAATGTTCCAGGTGCATGTACTGAGGAGCCTTTCAGCATGGTGTGAGGATTTCTCAAGGTGAATGTCATCATGCCCTCATTTCCTTTTGTAGGCTTTGGTCGGTGAAGTCCTCATCACTTTGAGATACAAGTAGCTTTTTCGTCTAACAACTTCTGTTCGGGCACTGCTAGTCCTCTCCCGCAGTCCATCTTTGGTTGAGTGGCACACGCTGCTAAGTAGCTGCTTCAGAGAGGTTGTACTTCAAGCTTTTGAGTTGAATATATGAGATATTTATACAGTAGAAGAGATCTCTAAGCTCTGGCTTTGGTTTGTAAAGGTTTGAGGAAATTGTCCATCTTGAGGGCTTAAGTATGCCTATGTTCAAACTGCAAAACATATACTCATTCAGTATGTATTGCCTACTAAATGAATACATACATATTGTATAACAGCAGATTGTTGATACAGCAAGATGAATGATACTCAGTGTTCACTTGTAATGTTTCATAATGTATCATAGTTCACAAGCTAGATTATTAACACTGAGGAACTTGGTGATTTGGGACACTTTTTGATGCTATCATGAAACAAGTTAGTTTATCTTGATTTGATATCTTGAACATATTAATACTACTAACATGACAGGTGAGAATTGATATTCAACATCTAGAGACTTTGAATGTTTAGTACGATGTTCATATTTTTGGAACAAGTTTAACATAAAGTGCTTTCTCTTCATCTCTGTTCTGACTCAGCAGGCATGTGCCGCCCGGGGCCAGGCTGTTGTGTGATTGTCCTGTACTTGGGGGGGTTACATTATGTGCTTTTGCAGGTGCTCAGCCCTGCAGGCCCCCATCTTCTCCCCTTTATTTCAACTCTCACTTCTGCCTTTCGCTTCTGTCATCAGTTCAGCAACAGCAAACTGTCACCATCATTCACTTCATGTAAGAGGCCCCTTCTCTGCCACTCAAACATCCAACCAACATGTAGAATAGATATGTCTTTCAGTCGCTGGTTGGGGATTTGAGAAATAAAAGGAGGGTGAGAGATTCCAAACATCCATTTTACTGAAAGGCTTTGTACCTTTTACTTTGGACCTTTAGTCCTATGTCATTATCAATATTTGAAATCCCTTGCTATTTATTTAGGCTATAGTTTGATTGTGAAGCATCCATTCCATGTTCCCAGTCCACATTCACTTTTCATTCATGCAGCTCAACACTTGGCCATTTGGACAATTTTAGTGGACACTTAATTTCCTCAGCAAAATAAATTAGCCGAAAAAATTGCAATTTAATAGTTTATAAACGTTGTTTCTCCCTTTTGACCTATTTCAGTTGATTCCGCGATGCCCAGGAAATGTTCATTACCAGCCATAACAAGTGACATTTTGCTTGGATTACAGCTGCTTTCTCATTTTAAGATACGCAATGCTGTTAGTGCACTTTAGCCTGACAACTGTCATTGGCTGTTCATTTAGTTACAGAACAGCAAGCATGCAAGTATCTGGATCTCTGGGCATTAGGTCTCCTTTGTCGAATCAGTTGAAATATCACCAAACATTCTACAAGATGCATTTCTACATTGCTACAAGAAATGTGCAAAGCCAGGCTTTGCAAAATGTGATGCTTTAGTGTTCTGTAAGTGCATCTACCGTCATAAATCTTCCTTTCTCACATGCTGACGGTGTTCTGCCCCTTGGAGCCATTTCATCTATAAAGTTTTATTACAGAAACCCAGCATTAACGACCAGTCTTTCTCCTTGTTTGTAGAAATACGATCTGGGGGGCGAGGAAATAAGGAAGGATCGGTGCGGCAGCTGCCCCTGTACGACACGCCGTACGAGCCGGCGGAGAACGGGGGGGACTCTGACCCGGACGTGCGCTGCCCCAGAGAGAGCCGGCTGCCCCAGGATGACGAGCGACCCCCCGAGGAGTACGACCAGCCCTGGGAGTGGAAGAAGGAGAGGATTTCCAAAGCTTTTGCAGGTACGAAAATAACCACTAACATAATATATGACACAAGAAACCAAATCATATAAATACTTTAATTCTCCAGCGGGAAATTGGGCTTAAGGAGAAGTAGCTAAAACAAAATGACTGTAGAACAAACACACACTCTTCGCTCATAATGCATACACATAACAGGAGCCATTTGTTCTTGAAACATACAGATAACAAGCTTTTTAAATCCCAATCAAAACACATGTATAGTTTAAATAGTTGCAAACTCCTTCAGCTCTTTCTTTTACATACAATAAGTACCGTACTGTTGTCAGAAGCTTAGACAGCGAATATAACCGTGTAAACTGATTCATGTTAGCGATGACTGCATTTCTATAAGGGTTGCCTTTTTTCAATTTCAAGCTTTTAACACAGTTTACTTTCTGCTTCACTAACCCAGGTGTCTGCTTTCCCAGCGCTAACAAATTCAATTTTGGCTTCTGTCAGGTTGTGAGGGTTCTGCTGCTGCTGCTGCTTTTACACTCCCTGCTAACGCTTCTTTTTCTCTGCCTCTGTCAAAGCACCAGCTAAGTCCTCTCGCAGGTGTCCGGTCTTCTGTTTGCTGTTTTGATCCAATGGCTGCCTGTTTAAGCTAAGATGATACTGCTCAGGGGGGCATGGTGCAGGTGCATGTAGGTGCAGGTAGTCGCTGTGGTTTTAGAGCTTCAGCATGGCTAACACAGCCATAACATCAAACAGGGCTGTTCCTGGAAAGAAAACGGCTTTGGAGTATAAATAGTGCACCCCAAATGATGAACAAAGCAAAGCCTTTTAACTGATATAACAACAGAAAATCAGCAACCCATGACTCGATTTTTCATCGCCCCTTCTTTCTTTATATTTGTCTTTTTATCCTTGAACAGCTCTGCTTTGTTATGACTGCATTAGCTACGAGGGTTCTGTAAGTGGCACTGGATCAGGTCCCCACGGAGGAAAGGACTGCAACTCTAAACCCCTCACAGGTACCATTGGAGACGGGGCTGGGGAGTGTCTCTTGTCTGTCTGTTTACTCATCTTAGACTTTGATGTCTGCACCTTTTATGGGTTGTGATGAATCTTGCTTTTTCAGGTTTATTTTGTACTGAAATCCTCAACACTAATTCCTTTAGAATTGATGTTAAAAGCAGATAATAAGCCGTTATAAAGTTTTCTAAACACTTCAGAAATGATCAAATTCAAATCTACCAGCTCAGTATGTTAACAAAAGGTCAGCCACTTCAAATGCAAATGGCCTTGATTGAAGTGACATTATCAGGAGGCTTCCACTGTGATTGCCGAGTGCTTTAAGATGACTAAAGTGTAGACATATTCTTTAAATAAGCCTTTCAGTAGAACCACAAGTGTAACAAGTAAAACTTCTTGGTGCTGTAGCTGAACTTTTGACCCCACTAACTTTAAGGCTACTGTGGACAGAAAACACTTAAGTTAAAGAAACACTGAAACTCTATTTACTTTTATTGGGATGTTCTGCACACAAACCTGACTTGTGCTCAACTCACCAGGAGGACTAAATCATCCATCAATGAACTCTTTCTTTTTAATTACAGCTGAGGCGTTTGGGGAAATAAGTTGCCAAGTTTGTGATTAGTTCTTTCTTTACTCTTTGGAAGAGTAATTGCGCTTTTCCGAGGTGTAAATGTAATCTCACCGAGCAAGACACAATATGAGAATAATGGGTATTTTTCTTCATTATGTTTTTGATGACATTCTATTATTTTTTTAACTACTGTACAATTGTTTTGTTATTTCCATTTTTGTGTCTTTCGTGTGTCTCCTTTAATTTCCCTTTCTGCTTTCTGTGGACTCGGCATTCGATTTGTGACACTTTAATAAAGCAACATGTTTTAGTAGAGAGGATGAGAGCGAGATTAAACCCCTGAGGTGTTGATTGTGAGTTGGATGTAGTCGGATTTATCATTGTGTAAATATAGTACATATTGGTGGGTAATATCTCCAAAATATTTATATTATATTGTGAGAAATGTTCAAAATCCTTGAGTCACTAAATTATAAAACCAACTCAAGGACACTAAAACACCCCCCACTGTGATGCATTTAAATATGAGTATTTTTTAATCTCAACTCTTAGCTTCATTTTGTATTTAGATCCAAACATTTACAATTGGATCTTTTAATTTTTTGGCTCCTCTGAGAGAAATGTTGTTGCTTTTGTTGAGCTGGCTTATGATTATAATTCTCAATTTGTGTATGTTTTAATAATAATAATAATAATGCATTTTATTTATGGGCGCCTTTCAAAGCTCTCAAGGACACCTTACAGAGCATAATTAAAAACAAGCAACAAAGAAGATCAAACAGTAATTCAAGACTTTAAAAACAAAGACTTAAAAACAACAATCAGTTAAGAAGAATTATTAAGATTGAATATGCCCGTTTAAAAAGGTGTGTTTTCAGGCTGGATTTGAAGGTTGATAGTGAGTCCATATTGTTTTATTAGTTGTTACTTTCAGTTGCTAGCTGCTAATGTGAAAAGAGGCAGATATGGTGGTCTTCACTGTAAGATGTAATGTGTGTGAAGTCTCTTATGTGGCATTACACGGTAGCAAGCTCATCAATCTCATTTAGTGTAGACAAAAAAGGAGGCTTAAGGGAGTATTTAGTGCATACTTGCAAGTGATGAGCTTTATACCAACCTCGTACCTCGTAACGTAAAGATAGTTGCACTACTTAAAACCGACAAGAATAGACTCAGTAATCTTATAATTAACATATTCAGATGGAAAGAACCAGAGCAGGCTTTATCTCTCTGAATGCACACATCATATGTTTGTCTATTCTTTACCATTGTTCTATTTTTTACTAATGTTTTCGTCACCCTTTATTTGTGTTTCCTGTGTATATCTTGGCACTGAGGTCTTCATATGAGTCGCTCTGTTCTGCCTCTGCCAATGATTAGCTAAATAAGTGATGCTGCATTCTTAATCGCTTTCTTCCTCTCCTTCATTATTTTTCTGTCAAGCAGCCCTCAGAAGAGTTTGTGTAGGGCGCTGTTTACTAACACATCCCTCTTTCAACCCCCTCTTTTACAGATAGCGTCCCTCTTTTGATGATGATTAATTACATTTACTTTCGATGTCAAAGTGTTGGCTGGGAATCGGGGAAGATACGTCTTTAGGTTAAGAAGAAAGCCGCGAGTCCTTTTTTGATTTATTGCACGTCTTCATTCTGTGTTTCATTCTGGCAGACATAATTACCCTCTATTTGGAAGACAGAAAGAGGAAGAATGATGGGAAAGGCATCTTTGGGACATGCCTTGTCAACATGGGCTTGTTTCTGTTGCAGGTGTCAGTGTAGACCGGCCTTGGATCCTGACATCAAGAGGCTTAGAGAAAGTTTCCCACCTTTCAAGGCTCGAGCATATGCGCCTGCACCCGAGGCTCTGATCTTTGCAACCAGCTTACCTTCAAATGTCAAGAAATTATACACTACTTTAGCATTTAAGTCCACTTGTGAGCCAGTTCTTTAGCAATGTTGACAGTCCCAGATTACCAATCAAACCCTTCTCACCCGTCCCTGTCTTTAACAACCAGAAACCATTAAGAACAAACTGGCTGAACAGCTGTTTCACAACTCTGATTTAGAAGTTGATGTCATAAAAACTTGAAAGTCTTTGGTATCACATTTCTCATAGGGGCAGTATAGAATTGTCTTGCATCCGAACTCAAAGCAGGGTTATCTGGGGTTTATGAAATGTTAGACTGCAGTCATGAGGTCATGGGCTTTACTTTAAGTTCCAGCTTGATGGGTCTGGACATGTTTGCCCAAGTAGTTGTGACATCCAAGTTGGGATTGGATTATGGTTGATTAAGAGTTGCTTTCTGTTGACACATCTGTTACTAGATCTTTTTGGTCTCTCAAATTAAGGCCAAGTGACTTTAGTGGTTAGGCTTTTTCAGAGATACATTTCCTGAAGTTGTTTAGGAGTTTGAGCCCTTTTTAGGAAAGTAGTCCCTTTTGAGACTATTACCAAAAAAGCTTAATGTGAGTTTAGTTTAGGATACACACCAAAAGCGCAATTCAATTAAAAAAAGATGTGAACATATAACATAAACCACCTATTTATGATGGATGATAACACATTAGTGTATCATTTGTATACCCTTTATTTCAGTTCATTGAGATTTCTTGACAACCTGTGTGGTTATCTGACTGCCCTTACAGCCCGTCCACACGGTGGCGTGCGTTGAAGCTTCAACGCTTCTGCCCATTCACTTTGAATGGGATGACGTCACACTTTGCCGAACTGCATTGTGGGAGCGTCGCTTCACTTTGCTCGCGTTGCTCGCTTCAAAATTTGAGCAATGTTCAACTTTTGAAGCTTCGACGGAAGCGTCAGCCAATCAAATCATATGCCAGTACAAGCTCTAACCAATCAAACCGCGTGCTTGTGTGTCCGGGGCGGGCGATTCATGTGATTGGTTGTTGGTCGAGTTTCAGACACGCCCGCCGGCAAGCTTCAGCGCTCTCCGCCGTGTGGACGCTGCGTTACTGTTTATTGTTTCATTGGACCTTATGTACTCCAATATGGTGATTTTGCCGTGTCCCCAGATGTCAGCAATTAAGTGAGAA